GACGAGCTGACATAACAATATGTCTGTTTATTTACCATTCGTAGCACAGTATTAGATGTTATTTATCTAGTATTTTTGCGTTCGTCGGATTGCATGTGAGTGAAAATCAGGTGATCAACGATTAGTGATGCAAGTGGTGCGTTATTTATGCGGGCCACTGTATTATTTTTGTTCGAATAGGATCACTGGAGATCGAGATACCACGTCCTAAATTGACCGATTCAATTTCTAATAAAAATAGATCGACGAATATGAATCGGTCACTTTAGTATGCAATATTTCGACATCCTGTGATCAGATTTGAGCGAAAATACCACTCCTAGATTAGACAAATCGAATCGTAATATTTTCGTTCAAATCGTATCACTGGACGTTGAGATATTATGTCCTGAAGTGACCGATTTATTGTATTCAGAGTATGAAAGTTATGAACTATAATACCCCGATATAGAAGCTATCAATCTATAAAAAGGTATCGATGATCAGCGTTTGTTCTTTGTGATCAGAAAATTTCAGAACATTACACATAATTTTCGGAAAGTTATCAGGGGTCAGTTACTTATGGCGGGGACTGTATGCAAGACGAAGGAGGGAAAGTCACAGTACTTACATAATTATTAGATTTTTTTCTGGTGCGATAAATATTCAATTATAAAATAAATCACTAAAATGTCAACCGGTATGGTGAGTTTGGATGATATTATAGAGGATGTAATCAAGAATATTAAAAGTGTGTTCCAAAGCGAAGTTAAATCTGAAAATCAGCAAGAAGCTTATATAATTGGGCTTAAATTAACATTGGACAGATTAGCACAAGAGTCAGAGCTTGCGCAAAAAGAAGACTCGGACCCTGAAGGTGAACATAGTTCACCGCCGGAATCAGAAATGGAAAATGATGAAATATCTGGAATTATCAATAAGTATATCTACTGAATTCATTAGTTGCCTGAGAGTATCATCAAAAAATAAGCAGAAATTTCGTCTCGTACCACAATTAAATAAAAAGTATAAGTCAACCGAATTGTGAAATCCGAGCATTCATTGAATAAGAATCCGGATGGTGTATAAAATTAAAGTATAATGTTAGGATTTTCTTTATTTGCATAGCAAAAGACAAAAGAACTTATGATAAATATATGTATATAATAAATAAAGTTTATAGATTATGGAATACATCGTTATTATTAAACAAGTACAATTTTTTCAGACATTGCACAGGCTATATCTACATCCGGCTCTGGATTCGTGTCTTGAATCAAAACTCTCAAATGTGCTGCTGTAGCTGCTACATCACCATCCGGCGCAAAAACACCCGTTAAGACTGTACTAAATTTTGTTCCAGCTTTAACTGGACACTTAATATCATGCCGCTGCTCATAACAAAAATCCCCATAGAAGTTGAAAAAATGTATCGGATTATAATCTTTATCAAAAAATCTTATCCAATCCATTGAATTTTCGGGAATATCAACAGTTAATGGTCCAGAGACAGTAACATTAAAATCTTTTCCTTTTTCCAGTGGATCAGGTGAAACTGTTACGTCGAGTAATGCAAGTTTACCATCTTTCCCAGGGCATTTACCAAATTTAATAGTTCTTTTATCGAGTTGATATGGAGCAACATTGACCATTAAAAGCGTAGCCAATAAAGCGAACGTAAAAATAAAATTTTGTTTCATGGTTACTTTGTAAATATAAATGCGGTATTGAGATTTTTTTTGTTTTCGGTTCTTTGTAGGATCTTTGTTATTGTCATTTATAAGAAAAGTTTTAGTAAAATCAATTCTTAAATGAATTAATATTGCGCAGATGATTAATGTGATTTTTATCTTTTCCTTTTTAAAAGCATGTGAAAAAATCCAATGAATTTAATAATAAAAAGAGAATAACTCGGGGGGATTTGCTCCCCTGAAATTTTTAATATTAATGCCGGCTGGAATTAGATTAACTGCTCATCGTGTAATGTTTGTTGATCAAATAATCTTTTTTAGACGGCATGCTTCATTCGTTTATACTCTTCATTTTTCCAGTTCTTGTAGCTCTTTACAGTGGTAACTTTTATGTTTTGTTTTAGTTTCGTTTTGTTTTACTCATTTTGCTAATTCCATTGGGTGTTAGTCACATTACGTCATTTTTCTGAACTGATGATCACCACTCCGGACTAGCTGGATTGAAAATGAATCGAAAAGTGACAAATAATGTAGCCGTAATCCGGAATTACTGACTTGTTAAGTGTATATGATGTAATAAGTGATACTCCACAAATCATCTGTGAACTGTGCTTGTGCGACGAAATAATTTCCCCCAAAATATTTTTCCCTTACAACATTTAGTGGAATAGCATTTATTGACATGTATATTTGCTCCGGAACTACGGGCTATTTCTATTACATTCTGAGCAGAACATAATTTATATAACGTTGCCGGGTCTTAGTATTAAGCGGTCGAGCAAGCGAAAAAAGTCGTATATGCTTAATCCCCGACGCCTTTGTTGATTTGATTCAGATTTACATGTAGTATCACATGCAAAATAAAATAAACTTTTCAAGAAGAGTATTATAAATATTATCATAAACATTCTCATATTTCAAGATAACATTATCTTTTTTTGGAAGGGTGAAAAAAGAGATAGAAGCTAATTATGATTTTTATATTAAATGTAGATTAATTAAGTTTATTAAGACTAATAACATTTATAATTGTTAAAATATTTATAACTATTAAGACATGTACTAATATACTCACTTATCATATATATTTATAATTTCTTTATATATTCTTATCATTTTTCTATACTTTCATATTTCTCTATACTCTTATTATTTCTCTATATTGTTATTGTTTTATATGGTTTTAAGTTTTATCACAGAGAAACACATAAAAGAACACATGCTAATATATTAAGTGAAAGAATTTATGAGATATAGCTTCAAGTAGAAGAGAGAATACAAGTATCTAAAGATAAGTAACATATATTTATTTTATTAATTAGCTAAAATGAGAACAGAAATATTTAAAGATAATTGTGTTCTTTTAAAAGTTAATTTATAAACAAGTTGAATATAATTTCTTTTTATTAATTTAATTTAATTATATATTATTGACTTCACTAATGTAAATGAGAGATCAATTACAAATATTATAAGAGGTGTAACTTCACAATAGTGACAAGAAATTATAAATAATAACTTTGTAATTAAGATGAGAAATTATATACTATTACCATTGTTCTGACTGGAAATTTTCATAATTTACATAATTTATATAATTTATATAATTTATATAATTTACATAATTTACATAACTCCTATAACTTTCATAATTTTGATAATTATTACAATTATAATAATTATCATTATTTACAACAATTATCATAATTATTACAACTTACATAATATTTATTATTTATCAACTTATATAATTAATTATAAATGTAACATTTATTAGTAAAAAATATTTATTATAAATAAAGCGCAATTGAAGCTTTGAAAAAGATATCAATTCTAATTGGATAATTAACTAATAAATATGAACAATTGATCAATACAAAAATCTAGTTAATTAATAAACTGTTTCTTGTTTATTGTTAATAAAATTTGTATATTTAATTGATTAAATAATAACTTATTAAAATACTTGCATTTATTGCGCTGTTACGACTGGAAATTTCCATAATTTCCATAATTTCCATAATTCTTATAACTTTTATAATTGTAATAATTAAATCATTTATAACAATTATCA